CGCGCGGGGTCCCTTGCTTGGGAAATAAAAGAGCCAGCGGCGCGGTAGCCACCAACGGTACAACTGTAGTGTAGGAGCTATGATGGGCGTGACAGCCTTCTACTTTGGGATGGAGCGTGATAGTTCGGGTACAAGTAAGGACGTGGATGTCCGGAAGGTGTGATAGCCGGTGGCGTGATAGCCAGGATTGGCGTGGAAGTCGTGGCGTGGTAGCCGTGGTAGCGTGGTAGCCGGGGGAAAAGGACTTGATTGCACACAAGGAGGAGGAAAAAGAGGGAAAAAACAAGTGAGGAGCCACAACACACAATCACCATATCCGTTGTAGACACACACATTCCCCCACCCTCGATCCTGTGATATGCGGCAAAGTTGGTACCACCAAATCTAATCCAGAGCAACTTCTGAACCCCCAAAATCCCCGCTCCATCTGCTCGGAAATTTCTTGCTTGCAATAATCTGTCGATGCTGTGAGTACGTCCAACAACTCGGCCCCGGGGGTTGTTCGTCCGCAATAATTNTCCCCCACCCTCGATCCTGTGATATGCGGCAAAGTTGGTACCACCAAATCTAATCCAGAGCAACTTCTGAACCCCCAAAATCCCCGCTCCATCTGCTCGGAAATTTCTTGCTTGCAATAATCTGTCGATGCTGTGAGTACGTCCAACAACTCGGCCCCGGGGGTTGTTCGTCCGCAATAATTATTCCGATCTATTCAACTTTGCTATGCGAATGTATGTTGCGCCGCCGATATCCTTATATGCATCCGCCTCTTCGCTCGCTCGCGACGAGAGTCTCAACCGCCCCCGCCCCCCGCCGTGAGCCGTGATGAAGGGGCGAGGGCGGGCGCTAGAGAGGCTGCCGGAGGCAAGCGACATTATCGTGATTCGTGCCCATGGGTACCCATGGCAATGCCGTGGCAATGCCGTGGCAATGCCGTGGCAATGCCGATGGGTACCCATGGTTATGTCCGGGGTTCCCATGATCATACCCATGGGTGCCCATGGGAAATGCCCATGGGAAATGCCCATGGGTACCCGTGGTCATCACCGTGGGTACCTATGGGCACCCGTGGTGATAACCATGGGTAGCCATCCATGGGCATAGGTGGTGTAGCACCCTACGGGGGCCCATGGATAATCACGGTAATCAGCACGGGTCCTCTTCGTCCCCGACTAAGAACAGACGAACAAACCCACCTGCAGGGTTGAAATCGCAAGCAACAAGTATGATGTACGAGACCTGCGCAACGCCTCGGCGTGCGCATGCACGGTACAAAACACGGGAGAGCGTGGACAGTACGAAACGCGGGAGACACAGCAATGCGTTCAGCGTCTAGCCTAGCGCCGTGGATCTGGGTGAGGGCGCACTGACGGGTTCTCCTCCACACCCGCACCAAGCCAGGTTGTTTTTATTCAGGCTCGCTCTCGAGTGGTCCTCTCCTCTCGCTTTTTCATTCCCCATGTTGCCATTCGATACCTACCTTTACATTCTTGCGCCGAGCTGGAATGTAGGACTCACCAACCGTCGTGTGAGCCCCGTTATGGCCCCTCATGGGTACCCATGGGCTACATGACTCATGGGCACCCATGGGCAATGCCCATGGGTACCCATGGGCACGAATTTCAATAGTGTATATGATTGACGTTTGTCCTCATTTCATTCCCTGTGAAACTCTTTTGGGGAAACTATTTATGTAGGCTGCCACCATCCGTGTAGTCTATAAATTTACGTTCCAGGCCCCAGAGATACATTATACATACTGTAAATCATGGTAATTGTCTTGTCCAGAGTCAGTCCTACGAGGCGCAATATATTCGTAGGTTTTGGTGTTTTGGTGCTTTTCGATCGGGGATATACATGCGTATGTAGTGCAACAGTTCATCGGAGAGGCGCGACAGAAAGGTGGGAGGGGGTACGAGGAAGGTGGGCGGCGACGGGACGCGGGACGGAGAATGGTGGCTTCTCTAGGATGATGGTGTCTCAGACCGGGCAAAAGGAACTTGAAACGCTAGGACAAGTTTCCAAAAGGCAAAGCACGAACAACACAAGAAAACGTCGGCGCCGTCAAGTGCTCAACCGTGCCAAAGGAGTAAGTCTAACTGGACATCATTCTTATGTTCGTCTTCATACGTGATAGGCTACAAGCTGGCTAGAGGTGGTGCAAAACCGCGAAATTCGTCCACATATGTACCGCTCTGAAAATGTTGCATCGACGCAATACGCATGCCCGAAAACACGGAGAGAGCCGAGAGGGCAGAACCACGACAACAGTAGCAGGTTGCAGTTGTGGGTGAGTTCTTGCTGACACCCGGCCATGGCTAGCACCGAGCACAACGCGATTTCACTCTCAAATCATGCATGCCGCAATACGAAAATCGCGGGCGACACGGTGGTGAGTGGCTTCGTCGTCAGGAGCATTGCTCAAGAATGTGTGGCGTCCTGTGCGAATGCGCACCCAACGCTGATCCGAAATGGCTTCAGGCCACCAACTTGTGGCCCCCCTCCTCTTCTCGCCTCACAGCACGTTTTCTTGGCATCGGACGGAGGGTTGACCGTCCTCAAGCTCGGTGACGGGAGCGTCGAGGACGGGAATCTCTCCCGTAGCCTGGTCGGGATCTATGACTTGTCCGCCGAGGGCGAGACGACCTCGGTGGCGTACAACTCGGTGTGCGACGAGCTCGCCATGTCGGTGAAGGCCATCGACGACGACGGGGCGGAGGACCCGCTCAGCAAGGGTACCGTGCGCATCGATCCGTCCGTCGCCGACTGGATCGAGTGAGCCGAGTCTTTGATGGTAACCTGTGTTGGCTGTATTGCTGCTGCAGTTGAAGGCGTACTCCGTCAACCAGACCCTTTGAGTTTGACGACCACGCATTCGTGGTGATGTTTAGTGTTTGCCCTCCGTGGGTGTCTTGTTGTTAGTGGTGGTGGTAATGTTTTGTCTCCGTGCGAAGCGACATCAGATCTCGTGCATCCTCCACTTATCCATCCCCGAGAGCCGAGGGTATCCGTATCCTGAGTGCAGGCTGTAGATTCTTTCCCTTATGTGTTCTCCACCGCTGGCGATCGCAGGCGTAATAGAACGCCTCTCGTTCCTTCAAGGCTCACACTCCCCGGACCCCAGGAACAACACATGATCATGTCGCACCGACCCACCGAGCCAACCCAATCGCGCGCGCCGTGCCTTTGTCAAGGTGCGACTTCTGCGAGGACGACGTGCAGGTGCTGGAGGCCGGCTATCGCCCCGACATGGTCGTTTTCACCCCTGACGGCAAGCATATCCTCCCCGCTAACGAGGGTTTACCGGTGACAAAATGACACAAGGGAGTGTTACGGCCTACGCGGTTGTTTTGCCTGGCGTAACACTGAGGCACCGGCGGCGTTGGGAGTGTGAACAAGTAAATGTTAACAATTACCGATACATACTAAAATTTCGTTGCGCACGGGCACTTTGGGAGGGAGGCAATAAATAAAGCATGAAGTCCATGTGTGCCCATTCGGTGAGGGAACTTGCCCAGTGCCAGTGCGTGGAAGCCCCCCCCCTCTCCTCGATATTGAGCCGCGTTACGTGCTCATCAGTAACCATAGTGCGACAGGACGAAGACGGTGCTGGACTGTCAATAATACTAACGACAATTGCAGCATCGAGGACGAGGACATTGAATAACTGTGATCACTTGCTCAGACAGGTGCGGAGGGGCCACCACTGAACTGGGCCAAGGCTGGGAATGATCCTCATGTAACCCTGGGACGTGATGCGTACGAACCAGCGGGACACCAAGGTTTCTTGAACCCACCACAGGACCCCATTCGAGACGCATAGACGATGGACACACACCTTCCAACGTTCTCAGCTCCGTGGGGCCTCTGTCCGCGCATAAATCGTCGAACACGACCTTCACACGACCTTCTACAGCTGAACCTCAAGAAGGCGGAAAACGATCCTGAGGGGTCGGTAACGATTTTCAAGCGCGATTTGGAAGACCAAGACCTACGAGATGGCGTGCGAGGTAGACTTCGAAAAGTTCAACGATCCGGAGCGTACGCAGGGGCTGGTCGAGCGCGGCATGCGTGTCAACGGTGAGGACTTTGCGACGTTTGCAATGGTGAGACGTTTCTTGCGCTGTGCACATGCTTGACATTGTTTTCTTAATGCGTACCGCACGCGCACGCACATGTGGTCCTTGCCGGTACGAAGAAGGCGGGGTTATCGACCGCGTGCTCTAGCCCGCACACAGCAACTCTCCATAATGCAGAAACGCCCGTCCATTACAGTACTTGTAGAAGAAGACAAGAGCAACAACCCACCCTACCCTACCCTCGCCCGCCCGTGGCTCTTTTCCCTCCCTCCACGTATGTACATCTTTGCACAAACTCTATCACGATCGTTCAGGACATGGAACCCGAGCACGTGGCCGTTACAGAACACAGCAACACGACCTATGTCACCCTCCAGGTGAGACAGGAGAGGGACCACAACACAGCAGTTTCGACGGGGCACAACGGGTCATTTTCGACTTGTGCCCTTGTGTTGGGAGCCCTGTGTTGTTGCGGAGTAGTTTTTTGTAGCGAAGAGGCACCATGTTGTCCTGATCACTTTGAAAGCTTCGAAAGGGATACGCTTGGGCTCGCACGGAGATAATTCATTCCAAGCGTTCGTCATGCATGCGGCCATTGACGGCACATTCTAGTTGAGGCGGTGCGAGGGCAGCGAGTCGAATGCTCAATATTCCATTCGAGGGGAAATTCTTTTGCGGAAGCACTGGCGTGGGACTCAACTTCCCAGCTGGAGTTTTTTGCATGAAAAGAGGTAGCAACGCTTCCTTTCAGGTTCCACGTTCTTCGCTCCCAGATGCTGGCGCTAACAACGCTCTTCTAAGATATACCACGCAACGTTTCGTGTTGGTTGCTACTCGAAAGGAAAACAGCGCGGTGGTGAAGATCGATATCAAGGGCTGCCAAGTCAAGCGGATGTACCCTCTTGGTTACAAGTTGGAAAAAAAAAAACGGCAAGATTTTTTGTCGATGGCTCGGGTTTTGGTTCAGAGAAGCGCCCAGCGATTCGTCAAACCGTTTGTCGCCGTGACAACCTCTTGTTGTTGTTTGTGTGGTGTTGCTGCGCTTGCTATTCTCGATGATTCTTGGCCTATTCCCGGTGTTGTCGCACTATAATAGCTGGACCCGGTGCATGTTGCACGTTCCGCAGCCGTGACGCAAGAAAGACGAGCCGCGGTCAAAGGGCACACCATCTCACGAAGCGACAGACGAGGACAACTTCGACTCATCAATGGCAAGGATGGGCAATACTGCAACTTTTTCTGGTCTCACCGTCGTGATTGTTTGCGTACAACCCTGTGCGTGCGTACATACCCTGGTCGACTTGAGCAGCATGAGAGTATCGTGCGACATATTTCACCTGGACAAGGTTTTGGAGTATTTCGGCGTCCCATTGCTTTTATCACCCGATTAATGAACTGCAAGAGTCTAGCAAGTACGATGTGTAAACACTCCAAGAAATAAAACGCACACGTTTCCGAGGCTTTCCGATGCGCTGATCGGGGTGGTAATTCTTAGTTTTCACCTAAAGCCATAGTGAACACGTCACACGAACGACCAGGAGCTACTGTTTTTTTTTCAGTAGAATCAGAACTTGCTTCAGAGAGGCAAGAGGCAAATACGTATGGTAGTTTGGCACTACGCGCGACTGTGAGAACAAACGATGTTCGGTCGACTGAGATTTCTTGACTCTTCGACCCCGGCTGAATCCATCGGGAACGAAAGGTTCCACACATACTCATCGCAACTCTTGACGGCAGGATCGACGCGTCGGACAGAAATGAGTTGGAAGATGGCGAGGGCATGATTAACCTCCAGGACTGGCCCCACTGTGAAGGGGATGTACATGCCAGACTCGGTTAACACGTTCAAGGGGAAGACAGGCGACTCTTACGGGAAGTGCTGTGAGTCAGCGAGCTCCGCTCGCCATGGTGCTATTAGGCTAGGGTTCCGTTTTGGCGAGGACCATGTGTGTAAGCGCGTCTTTCTGTTTCTGTGAGGTATATGTTTGAAGATACATTCTTCACGCAGGCCTCTCGATTTATTAACTGCTCGCCCCAAAGTTGTTTGTCGTGAACGGCCTGCTCTCCCACTGCTGCGGCCCTCGCCAAACGTGGTCATCGTAAGCAACACCACCAACGTCAACATCTATGCAAGCCCCGCCAACACAGTCATATTTAAACGACAAACAAAACACAACAACAACGTCGTAACCGTTGTCTTTAATGAAGACTTCCTCGCCACCAATAAGGGTGACGCTCGAGAGCTGGGACAGGAAGACGACGAGAACTATCACAACGAAGAGATTAGGGTGGAATACCTTGCCATAGAAGTAGGCTGCGACGCTGACGTGGCACCCTAAACGACGACACCCTCGGCAGGCTCAAGGTGAAGATGCACGATATATTCAGTTAAGAACGATAGAAATTCAGAGGCGAATACTTGTTTACCCTACGTTTAACCACGTCATGAAGTTACAAAGGAGTGCATCTCGTCTCGAGGCTAGTAGGACTGCAATGACACCCGCTTCAGGCTCGAAGGCGGCAGGAGGTAAGACACGATGCATCTGGGCTGCGTCGACGGACACCGTTCATGGGTGCTTCTGCGGCATCGGCAACAATTATTTGAGCTGGCACCAAACAGGCTCACCTCGCATCGGGAAAGCGTCCTCAATGATTTTCAGGCTTGCTGTAAGATTGTATCACACCAAATTCCATCTGATATCTCGCCATTTTTGATTCGTTCCGAAGGGTCTGAGACGCGAGCTTTGACGAGTTGCGGAACCCTTTAGTGAGCGAAAGTCTGCTCAGCAGGCAGACGATTTCCGTGGGGTATGATGTTATATGTCCTCTTCTAGTGGTGGTGTCAATTACGGACGGATACATCACCTATCCAACCTGTGATGTTCCTGACGACGTTCGCGATCGTGAGCAGGTGACCACTGCTGCTCCGTTCGCCGGGAACATCAACGACCTCTATGCCTTCGGCGGCAGGCAAGCGGATACCTACAGCTTTCTACTTTACCGTCATTGACGAAACACATGACATTGTTGAACACAAATAGACACGTGACTTGAGGCGCGGAGGCCGAGACACGCTCATAGGCACGCACATGCCTGCCCGTTCATACGTCCAATATTCGGCGCCGTGTGAGCGCTTTCCGTGAGCACGTGGCCGAGCCGGTTCCCCCAGTGACAACGAATTGTGTGGCTGCACCGTAATCGTAGTGAAACGTGACTGACATACCCCCTCATGGTGACCATCTGAACTCTTTTTGATGACAAACATCGTTGTAGGTGGTTGTAAGCTGTAGATATGACGAGAGACACCCACATGCAACATCGGATCAGCAGCGCGGAAATCATGGTGTTCAGCTTACACCGGAGGCGCAGCACCTGGGGTAATACCGTCTTCTCGGTCTTTCTTGGCCATGGAGCAAGCGGGGGCGCAAGTCTCCTCGGAAATTTTTAGTAGCTGAGGCTGCGGCAGGCGATGCGTGACTCTGGTGTAGGCATATTGTTCTGGTGTACTCCCTACATCCTCGCTCCACTCCCTTCATTGACGGAAATGTTGTCGTGGTGTGTATGCACCGCTTGACACGTGTGGCTGTGTAGGTCCATCTCCATCTTCGACGGCAAGACTGGAGAGCTGGTGAGGGACAACGGAGACTTCATCGATTCGTACACTGCCAAAAACTGGCCCGAGCTGTTCAACTCCCAGGGAGGTAGGAACGCGAACCTGACGCCACCCGTCACCGAAAGAAGTTGACGAATGTGTGTGCAGTCAGAGACGTCTCTCGAGAAAGCACATATCGTCCGCCGGGAAGATGCTGCGCTTGACATTTTCACGAAAGGCCAATCCGACAGCGAAGAGTGATCGCCCAAAGACAACTGCCAAACTACGGGCTCATGCGATGCGTTGCAGCCTTGTTCTACACGTGATCAATACTCAATAAGTTCGTACTCTCACAAGGTCGCCGTCTGACATGGGGTTAGACTAGGCTTGTTGACGATATGTACAGACGATGTGATCGGTGACGCCATCAAGCGCCTTGTTGTCGACCTCTGTTCATGATTCTACTCCAAGAGCTAAGAAATAGTAAGGACTCTCCGACCTGTAACGTCACCATGCGCCGTGTTGTTGACCCCTGTTTACGATATTGTTCCCCTAGCAAGTACGGGCGGTGTGATCGGCGGACCAATAATGCGCCAGAACAAAATTAGGAACCAATTGCAAATCGAAGGAAAGACGCTTCCGGCTCCAAGTAAAGTATCTGCGATCCGTTGTGGTTGAGTGGGCATCGCCCGAAGATATTTCCTACTTTTTGAGGTGTTTCGTACCCTAGAACATGCACCTGGGCTCAAAATGAAGCAAGCTTGTGTCTGGGGGGTACAACTGTTTTCACGATGGCTGTGGTTCAAACATGACGCGGTTCCCACAGCGTTCTTAAAAAATTCGAGTCAATAATTCGCAAAGAGAGAGGTTCACATGTGCGTACCCTTTGCCACGCATGGACAGATCCCGACTCCATGGACAACCGCAGCGACGAGAATGGACCAGAGCCGGAAGGCCTCCTTGTGGCCGAGACTAATGACAGGTTGGCGTCCTTGTTTCTCAATGCGTGGAATCCGTGAGCTTGCTGACAGTTTTCCTCTTTCTATAGAAACTATTTGCTGACTGACGTGACCGGTACCTTAGCGGTGACTACTACAGCGTTGATGTTGTGGGACCGCGCTGTCTGTTGTTTGCGTCGACACGCGGCGGTTCACGACCGTTCGACCGTTTAGCAGAATGGTCTCGCTGCGGTCGGGATCGACGGTCCGCTTACTGCTACCCGCGCCAAGAAACGACCTTTTCGCAACCCCCCGCCTTATCTCTGTAGTATCACCACTACTGTATCATCTACAGAGAGCACTGCAGCTTACACGAGGCATCCGCCTCCCCAAAACTCTTCAGCATGTACGCCTTCGTCTCCTTAGAGCGGATCGGCGGATGGATGTGCTGGGACGCGTCGGACGCCACGGCTCCGGTCTTTCAGTCGTACGTCAACTCGTACGAGGAAGACACGGCTCCCGAATCGGGCGCTATTCTTCCGGCGGAGTACTCGCCCACCGAGAACGCCCTCCTGCTGGGGGCGTTCGAGGAGAGCAACACCCTCGCCATCTTCGAGCTCGTCGTCTGATTCGACTGCAGCATGTTACAGTGGGGACGTTTCTTCTGCTCCGACCCATGTAGCCTTAGTGTAGAATTAAGGCATGTCGCTTTGCGAGCGCAGTAGAGGGGGCTGTTGTTACAGTCCACATGTGGTATTCGGAATATCCCGAATACGTAACATGGTCATGTAGATAGGTCGTACCACACGAACAATAGCGCACAACATGAGGGAAGAAACTTTGTGTGCCCGGGGCGCGTTCCACAGGTAGATGTTGTGAAGCGTGATAGAGTTGTTTTTTGAGCGGGTACTGTCTGCCCCGAAAACAGAAAAGGTATAACGGTCTCAAATACGAGTCCAGGAGTGCCGACTAAGGCCTTGTGGATAGGAGCGGCGTATCGGAAGAGACCGTTTCAAGGGGTGCAGATATTCCTCTAACGCCAGAAGCAAGTCGAACCTTCTCGTTTAGACTTTTTCCTGTAGTTTGCGTTCCGACGTCTGATGTGGGCGGTGTTTTGATGCCCCGGTGCGAGATGACTGACGAAGACCATTGAATTCGCCAACGTTCGGCATTACGTCTGACGGTAGCTTCTACATCCAACTTGTGCGGGTTACAGTAGACCCCGCACACCTGAGTTCTGCGCGGAATCCGAAAGTTGACGATGCATATGTTCGGCTCGCAACTCGGCTTCCGTTCAGCGTCCCGTAACTCTTGCAGTCGCCCCTACCAAAACATTACTAGAGACTAAGCAGTTACGTAAGGTACAAGTACGACTTATTGCGTGGTGTGTAACCGTATTATTATGTTGGCCTACGCGGTCAGATGAGGTGTGGAGTACAGGACGGGTTGCGCGGTGTGCGACAAGTAATCTACGGTTGGTTAGCGGAGACGAGTCGGAGGGGAGACCGGATGCCAACGCCACACGTGTAACACCAATGCCTTGTGATGCAGTGAGACATACAGTGAGCGCCCCCACTTAACAACTTAGGAGAAAAAAGTTCAGGCGAACAAGATACCAAGAACTTGATCATAGGAGCGGGTGCTCAGTCGAAAATCCCACACTTTGACCTACATAGTCGCTGTCAGGGTAAGAAAGTAAGAACGAGCCTCAGGCAACATGAGCTGGCGCTAACTGTGTTGTCCAACATTCGTATGGGATCGAGTGCCAGTCACTCGGGCCGTCCAGAGGGTATCCTCGAAAACCTCGGGGGGTTACAGTAAGAGGGCAGGAGATCAGCATGCACTTCTTGGTGTAGTCTAGTATTTGCCAGCGAGGAGCCAGTGTTGCCCACCTACAAATTTGTGAATGCGGTTGTGAATGTAGAAATTGATTGTCATCGTGAACGAGGTGATGAATATGAAAAGTAGCAGCAGATCGGCTTTCGGGGTCGACTTCAGTCTACTACATGGTTAGATTATTCGATGGATCAGGACCACCTGGCGGATCCCATGGGTGTCGGCGAAAGTTTGCGAAATAACACGTCTTGATTTCGATACCACTAGTCTACACGAAACTGATGCCGTGTTTCCGAGCATTGCTTCCGTGCACAAGCCGTCAGTTCATTCCTGGATGCGTACCCCAACGCTTTTTGTTCGTGAGTCTGCGAACATTGCTGTTGGATACATGTGCTGGATGATTT